AGGAAAAGAGAGAAAGACTGAGCTCAGTCCACCTGGCCATTGACTGAGTTAAACAACTTTCCCCAAAAAATATTTCCTGCCAATTCAATATGTCTCCTTCCCTCAAGCCTATGTTATATACACAGATTGAGAGTTTCTACACTGATAGATAAGCTCCTTTCAAATGAAACACTAAACAGGTTGCTTCTTGTTTCAGATCCTTCAGTGGACTCCAGGCACCATTCTTAGCATGGTTTCAAGGTGGCTTCCCCCATCTGTATTTCTCTGCTTCTTCTCCCTGCCCTCCAGGAGCCCTGCTGTTCTATCAGTTCTCAACTAAAGCTGACTCTCCGGAAAGAATTAGGGCTTCCCATACTGCTCTTTTATTACCCATATTTTCTCATTGTACTATATATGATTCATTAAATCTCTCTCTCTCTCTCACGATTAAGCTTCTTGAGGCAGAGGCTGGGTTACCTGTCTGCACATCCCAAGGACTGGCTCATAGTCATTTCTCAGTGCAGGCAGAATGCCTATTTCCAAACTATTTAGACCCTCTTTTCCTCTTCCCTTCTCTTATGAATAATTCAATGCTAAAGTCATTTGGCCCAAGTAACGTAGATGTTACACTTGGAGGTGGGGTAGAGAATTATAAATCTGACAGAAAAAAATAAATAAAATCTGTAGTGTTAAATCAGAATTGGAGGCATTGCTATGAACTCCTGGAGGGAGGGAGGGAGGGAGGGAGGGAGGGAGGCCCAAATTCTGTCCATTGAGATAGCCAGGACCAATAATACAGCGAAAGCAATGAGCACAGCTAGCACTGAAATCTTGGTTTCTAAATACCATCTTCCACTAAAAGGGAACTAGAGTTCTTTTGAAAATGACTGATTCTAGGGCTGGGTCCAGAAAAATGCAAGGTAAGCATGGAGTATCTTAGATTAGAAAGTAAGGAGCCTTTTCCTATAAAGAATAACTGGTGATTAAATGGGGTTTGGAGTTAGCTGGTAGTAAATTATCAAGGTGAATTTCCTGATTTTAATGGTTGTAGTACAGCATCTAATGATGCTAAATAAAGGGTTATTCCTATTGTACTTGCAACTTTTTTCCCCTCTAGATTTTAGATTACTTTCATTTTTAAAAAGTTCAAAAAACTAGACCATGCCACTAGTGTTTTAAAAGTATAAGCCAAATGCAAGTCCATTTTAGAACTATGATATATACTGTTTCGGCCTTCGAATTCACGAAAAAAAATGTGACCATATTATTAATTTTGGCGGAAAAAAAAAAGAAAAGAAAAGAAAATTGTAGAGATTATCTTTGACTTTTCTGTAGTTGCAGTTTTCTAACTACGCCGCCATGTCACAAGCGCCCTCCCGCCGGGCCCGC